TAGATTCGCTGTGTTCTGATGATAGCAGGCCACATCCCGGATCAACAAACAAGAACTCTGGTGCAGATGGCCCACAACAATGGAGTCATGATAGTAGGACCCTGCACGGTGAGCCAGGCGCACCTGCTGATGAATTGACTAAAATCAAAAACCTGTTTGGAGATGATGCAGCTTTTTGCGTTCGTCAACTTGAACTACTTTAATGAGACAATCCTAATTGATGTTACTGTCATTGGCTCCTCCCAAAAAATTGCCTCGGTGTGCTGGGCTCAGAGATTAATGAAGCACCCTTAAGAGACTGGTATTTAATGCCAATCCTGGCTCAAGAAAAAGATAGAAATCTTAGCGTTTTGTACTCGGTCAGCTCATAAATCTGATATTCTGACTTGTGGGGTTTAATTTCATGAAGTCAGCTATGAATATAATCTTTTAATAGCTCGGTGTATTTATACATGACCCACTTCCACCTGCTGTCGTTGAAGAAAAATGGCTCCAGTCCATTGTGTTGATGGAGAAGTTTCACTTACAGTGAATAATCCGTGCTTTCCCTCTTCCCCTGTCCACCCCCCCGACAGCCGTTGCACCTCATGCAGGTCAACTTCATCAAGCCGGGCAGCTTCCGCTGCAACAAGTTTGGCAACATCGGTGGGCCGATGGAGGATCTGGTCTCGCTGAGGTTGCACCGGCCGGGCAGCGTGGGACTGGTCACCCGCTCCGGGGGCCTGAGCATAGAGCTGTTGGTCAGCATTGCCAGAAACACGGATGGGCTGTACCAAGGCATATCACTGGGCGGCGGAAAGTAAGTTGGCTCAGTGAAATCCACCTCAAGCAGAAGCACTTGGTTGAAAAGAGCCATTTTGTCGGACGCGACCGTGACGCGCGTGTTTCCTAGTCGTTTGTGAATCAGAGAAGTTCAGTTCTGACCAAAAGAGCCTCCATTGCTAAGAAAATTGTGCCCTCTCTTGGTCCTGCTCGAGGCTTAAAAACATGTCCATAGCATTGAAAGAGTTTACAGTTCTTTCCACAGACTGGTCACTCTTCAAAATGAAACCAAAGTGTGATGGGCTAGTTTAAAGTCAGAACACGTTAATCTACCTTTGGACTTGGCAGTTATAATGGGCTTAGCGGAAGGCGCTATCACCAAGATATACTGTGCTAGGAGCTGGAATTCAAAGGACAGTTTATTCGACAAGTGGTCTGAAATTTGTCATTTCCTTGCAATGTAACTTTCTCAAGCTCCACATGCTGCCAACAAAAACTTCCGCTTTTTTATTTAAAAAAATAACTTTGAATGCAAAAGCAGAGATGTAAGTTCCTATTCAGGGGCCACGTTTACTCCTAAGCAGTTTAAAACTCCTTGACGCTAGGACATTTTTCTGAAAGCCGACTCTGAGAATTCCAGCCTCGCTTGGCCACGAAGGCCACCTGCCAAACTGCAAATTCTGGGTTTGTGGCCCTGCGTGCTCTGCACGCTTTGATTTACACAGTGAAAAGGCTCAATGTTCGGTGGCATGCGGCTCTACTCACACTTCCACATTCCCATTGCCTCTTTTCAAAGTGGGGAC